ATGAGTGAAATGACTGATATACTTGATGAAGCCGTAACTTTTATATTTCTTGATGAATTGCTTTGAAACTCAAAATATAAAGATATATTAGTAGTGTAAACAAGATAACATGGTCAAATTAGCGTGAAACTCACGCGCATACACGTGCGCTCTTCTCTGATTGGCTGATACAAAAATCTCAATAATTTCCTTGTTTTTGGACAAAATACTTTGAAATTTAGAATATAAGTATATATTATAAGGTGCTACAACATGTTATATTGGAAATTTCTTGAAAACACGCGCATGCAGGTGTGCTGCAATCTGATTGGTTGAAACTTTAAATGTCTATAACTCCCTTGGTTTTCAACAAAACAGGATGAAATTTACGACATGGATAAGCACATAGAGCTCCTACATTATGATACTATCAAAATTGAATGCAAGGCCATGCATGTGCGTATGCTGAATTCTGATTGGCTAATACTTAAAGGGTTACACCTCTCTTTATTTTTCAATGAAATTCTTTAATATTTAATACAAATGTATGTATTGTGAGACACTATAAGAAAATTAATGTGAAAAATGTAGAAAACATGTGCAAGCACATGCGCTGAAATTTGATTGGCTAATACCCATATGGCTATATCGGAGTAGTTTTCCAATGAAATACCCTTAAAAATAAGGTGTCCATCTATATTACAAAAGTATTGTCTAATTTATTGAAGCATGTAGGGAATGGGGCATCATAAGAGATTGGGGAGCCGTTTGGGGAACATCTGTAACGGTTCCCGTTACAATTAGCACTAGTTCAAATTGCATTCAGTTGTTTTAAAGACTAATTTTTGTCCTTATACAATGTATATTTTCAAATATTTGTAAACTGGCCTGATTTGTTGTATACTTATCAGTAAAATACCTATTGTATACTTATCAGTACAGATTATTCGGTAGATAGACATTATAAAGAATCTCTCTCTCTCTCTCTCTCTCTCTCTCTCTCTCTCTCTCTCTCTCTCTAGAATATCAGTGGAAAAATAAGAAATAAAAAAAACTTCTTTAAAACAGCGATACATTTGTCAAATCAATATGGAAGCATCTCTACATAGTGTAGATTGAAGTAGATTACTGTTGTCAATTTATTGGCTCAAGGGCCTCTTGATTTATTATTCTTAATTTCTTAACAAAAAAGAAAGCTATGCCTAATAAAATCTACAAGTGGTCATTATTGTACGGGAGTCTTTTTTTTCACGTAGGGTATGCAGATTTTAATGGTAAAGACACATCTTCTACAGGCAAAAAGGGTAATTTTCCTACGTCGAATAAGACCCGGAATTGATTTTCCCCTGGTCATTATTTACAGGGGTCGTTATTCGTCTTTACACCGGGGACAATATGTGCCGATGTACGACAATATGCAGTGAGATGAGGTACATACTGTTGAAGATGACAATTCTTAAAGGATGACAATATGTACCGTCTATTTGGCTCTTGATAGAACTTTTTATCTTTAGCTAATTTTGTACCAAATGTCCGAACGCCCAATTACTGTGTGAAATTTCAATGATATTTACTGCAAAGAATATGAGAAATGTTGAAAACAGACAGATAAAGACCAAGAGACAAACTGCTCTAATGGGGGGGGGGGGATAAAAACAACTTCGAGGACAAATACAAATAAGATATAGCAAGCAATTATCCACCAGGAACAGATTTCTTCACTCAGGGAGTTTGTTAAAGCCTTGATATTTAATAAAGGTGTTAATTGTTAACTTAAGAGAAACATTTCTTTTTCACTTATTTTGAAGTTCAGTCTAATAACATATTTTAAATCAGTAGCAGTTTTTAGCAACGCATCTCACCCGTTACAGAAAGTCCCAAAAAATGCTTTAGTTGTTGGTCTGGGTAAATGATTCATTTTAATCAATTTTACTTGGTAGACTATACTAGAGAACAAACCAGCATAACAGGTGATCTACATCTTTTTCTTGTCGAGTTATTGTTTCAATTTTGTGACGGCCCCTCTCTCTCTCAAAATTTTGGACTCAGTTTTGGTATTTAAAAAAAAAGATGCTAGAAAATAGGTTCTTAAAGTCCAGGCCCGCAGAAACGGTTCAAAAGTGGTGGTGGTGGTCTTGGGTGGGTGGGTGGGGGGGGGGGGGGGGGCAATTTCCCAAAATTTCTGACAAAAGGAAAACAACCTCATTTACTTCCAAATTTTTTGAATTTGCCAGTGCTCGACCTTACAACAACGAAAAGTGGTGTGTGGGGGGGGGGGGGTGCAACCTGCATCTAAGGGAAAATTTCCTATAGCAAAATACTATACTCAGAAAGGGGGGGGGGCGGATATAACTCGTTTTGAATCCAACCGTTGTCATTGCTTCAGATGACTGCAGTGTGGTTTTCATATGAAATAAATGAGAAAATATACTTTGGGTGTGTAATTTTCATTCAAAAAAGAAATGATCTGTCAAATCCGTTATTTTGCATATTTTTGACGAAGTGGTATAAGTTGAAAATAGTATAGGGAAATGTAATAACCTTGCAATAATTTCAAGGTTATTACATTTACACCCTGCGTAATACGGGCATATAGTATTAATTATTAATATATTGCGTTAATCTCGACGCGGAGTGTGATTTGTTTACATTTTGCGTCTTTATTACAATTTGCACTGCATGTCAGTCACATGACTTATTGATCAAATAATTGGCCGAGGTTACATAACACAAACAATAATTTTGAATAGAAATGACCTGAATAATAAATCCGTAAAAAAGAAATAAATCGTAAGTTTTCTTTAGTACATAGATATGCGACTTTATGTCTTTTTTTTACGTAATTCTTTACAAAATTTTGCATACATTTTTTTAAAATTTTGTGAAAAAATCTTTCAAAATTCTCCCACTTTTCTTGACAAAGAGTATTCAAGTTATCTATTTCAATATAAATCAATGAGAAATTTGAAAAAAAGTTTGTGCTTTTTATCCTTAAAGCTCATGGTTAGACCACTGTTTCCGGTAACTCGACTAACCCTAATTTTACCCGCCAACCCTACTACTTTTAATCCCAATTCGGATTTTAAACCGCACAGTCATGCACTCTCTTCTACTGGTGCTTTCTTTTAAGTGCATGATTTGCCCGTGTAATCAATTATGGGATATTTAATGTTAGTTCCATAAAATGAAATATGGAGATAAAGAACAGTGATCAAGCTCAAAAGTCCATTTAAACAATATAAATCGGGAGCAGAGCAAACGCGGACTCCTAAAAAAAACATCAGAGGTTGGATCAGGTGTCATGGAGGAGTAAGCATCCCCTGTCGACCGGTCACACCCGCCGTGTGTTCATTTTCATGATCGGGCAAACGGAAAAAAATTGTAGACAATGCAGTGTTTGAATAATGGCCTGACAATTAGTATGAAAAAATCAGTTTGCATTCCTCTTAGGCCAAACAAAAAAATATGTGTGGTTCCGGTTACACCTCCAAAAAAATTAGGGTAGGTAGGTAGGGAATTTTTTTTTTTTTTTTTTTTTTTTTTTTTTAACAAAATGATTTTCTTAATTTTTCTAAATAATACTTATCACTACTTTACAAATGACATTTAGATGTGGTGTGATAATATACTAGTCAATATTGGTACAATGTAGGGGACACCTACATGCTAGCTTGCTTTGGATTTAACACTAATAAACACTTGCACTATGTTGAGCAAGGGGGCCGTCATTGCTGAAACTAAAACTTAAACCGGAGCCATTGATGGAAATTGGGGAAAATTCCGGAAAAAATATGAAAATTGCCCAAAAAAAGTTTAGGGTCGGGGGTATAAAATAGGGACGGTCGGGTAACCGGAACCACACATATTTTTTTATTTGGCCTTAATAATAGATTTTATTTGCTGACAAGGTCATTGTATCGACCATAGAATTTGCGAAATGATGACTTTAATCGAGACTGTTGATATCCCTGTTTCATAAAACTGTTTGTCAATAGCTTGCCTCGTTTTAGAAATTGGTCGTACGTATCGAATCAACCGAGAGACATAGACATCATATGCAGGTGATAAAGGAATATTGCTACATAATTTTAGGAAGTTGACGATAGAAAGTTGAAGTCATCACGTTTATCATTAAGTTTTGTAGTCAGGTTAGCATTAAGGTCTTTTTCTAGTAAAATATCCAAATAAGAAACAGATGTGTCAGACTGTGATATCTTTTATTTCAAGTTCACTGGGATATATTATTTCAGGAGCCATGAATTTCACAATTTTGGAAGAAAATACCCTTTTCTTTGGAAAAAATACCCTTGCTCATAACTATGAACTTAGTTTGTGACTATTACACAGAGCATAGAAAAAAATCTTCAAGTATTAATGCAGTTTCACTATTTGATCAATAGAACCCCATCCAATTGCAGAATATCTGATCCATTGGTAGAGGACTCAATGTTTATAATAAATATTATAATCATGCGAACAGTTTGACTGCTTGATGCCCACTGGCCCCAGGTGTAAAGGTTTTTAAAGATTGCCTTAATTTTGATAGTTTCAGCCCCACCTCTCAGGGGGCAGGGACCCTGAAATTCATGTTTTGTTCCTCTTTACTCATAGATGCTAAAATCCAAAGTTGAATGTGGTTCAGTTGTCCACAGAAGAAGTTGAAAATGTTCTATAAATTATGACTACATGTTGGAGAACACACTATAAGACAAAGATTATCCGAGTGACTTAAAATTAAATTCTAAAAGGAAAAGCAGAGGTTGAGATGCCATCAAAGTTGCATTGTCTCTTGCTGTTATCTGCAGCTGTAAACTATTTTACACCACCACGGCACACAACAGTCACCCTAATTTGCTTTAACAAGTGCACTGCTACTTTTGATTTTTTTTTTTTTTAGCATATTGATGCATCATTTTTTTAAAACATCTCCTTCTCTGGAAAATTTGTAGATATCTCAATGATTTTTATCTCCTAATGGATTTGCTCTGGTAATACATATAAAATATAACAAACAAAACATATTCCAGCATACTGTAAATTTTATTCTGACTGACATGAGAGGGATGCAGAACATACATATAACAAGTGTGTGATGAGATACACCGGTCTTAACAAACCTACTTTGTAACAACCAATGTGATTGGTCCTGTCACACAGTGATGTCATCATGAAGAGAACTGATTGAAAATGATTTATTCTTTAATTTTCATTTCCTGAGATGAAAACAAAGTGATGGTAAAAAAGCAAAGATCTTCACATTAAACTAAAAGAAAGAAAATAGGCTGCAATAAATAACAAAGGGAAAATGACTAGACATAATGGGAAAAGATGAAAGAATGAGGTAACATTAGACAATTTCAGTCTTCTTGAAGTTGTGACTTAAAATGTCTCGTTTAAGACCAAACATGCACAAGGAATTGTTTTAAAGTCAAAAATCAACATTTACTCAATGATGTGAATGCGGAACAGTGTTAACAACCCTGACTTTGTTTTATTGAATGAGCAACAGCTGATGAACAGAAGCAATGGGTCTCCTTCCCTGGATGTTAAAAATACAACACCAATAAAGTCACAAAGACAATGAATCCAGGAAGGCAAAAAAATGGAGGATATTGCTTCCTTAATTTACACTGAAAAATTTCAATCTGAATGATATCGCTCAATTAAGAACAGTGCATTATAAAGTAAAGAGCATCAGCAGCAACAGTTAACAAGATTTAACAACAAAGAAAAGCCAGAATCTACTTATTCTCCTCAATGTCAGAAAAAAATCTAATTATGATCTCAAGTTATATTCTACTGCCCTCTTCTTTCTTTTTAAAGATAAGAATAATAGCTAATTCTGAATTTATCTAAAAATGTCTAACTAAAGCAAGGGATATCTATATACATCATACATAGGCATTGGTCAGATAGAAGCAGCTCCCTGATTATGACTATTTTTTGGTCTTACTAAAAAATGGCCAGTGAAATATATGGGAGTTAAAAATTCTTAATGATTCTGGGTTTCTGGCCCCAACAAGAGAAGGTCATTCCAAACAGAAGACAACATCTATACACCACATATCTAGAAATGATACACAAAGATGAGAAAAGTTTGAAACAAATGTGAGATCTCTTTCATTACTACAGATGTCTTTCTTTATATGACTTGACTGCTTGACAAAATTCATTACTTAGAATCAGTCCTTATTTGAAATAAATTTTACTTGAATCTACATAAAAATTAATTATTTTTCAAGATTTTTTCTTAACTTGTCATTGGAGAAAAACTATAAGAGCAGTCAAACACATTAATGTACCTAAGAATTTGACTATGATCAACAATGAACACAACTTGTATGTACAAAAAATACTGGTTCATTTGACAACAACAGGAATTTAACTGATTTGTCAATCACAAAGAATGCCATTTCTATTTATAGGGTATGTTTAAATATAAATACATATCACCTTTACATACCTAGAATATACTGTTTGTTTGGCAACAGATGTGTACTGAAAATATTATGCCCTTTATCATGCTATATTTATCATAAATATGGGTGGTGTTGAAAGAGGGGAATTTAAAAGCTTTGAGGAAAACATGTCCTTATCTTTTGAATACATATCAAATTATTTTTTAAAATGTACTTTTTAATTCATTTTCTGATTATAAATGGAGAGATGAAATGCAATATCATTACAACAAAAGGCTTTGCTATTCTTTGGTATAACATATAATTCTTGTCATTTTCTATACAATAAAAAAGGTCTAAATATCCCTTCATAATATTATGTCAACGCTTTCTATTACTATTAAAAAAAAATTTAATGTACTCACTGACAAATTAAAATCAGTTTTTATAATCAATAAAACACACTATACAAAGCTTTGAACTTGACAATAAAAATATTTTTTATCAAGGCTGTTGTCTTTATACAAAAAAATGAATAGAAACTTTCAGCCAAAGAAAAACCATTACAAGTTGCTCCTCTGGAAAAAAAAAATTATTGATTATTGCAGAAGAGGACCGACTTCTATTGCACACAACTACAAGTAATAGATACAAAAATATATGCATATATCTACACCGCAAAAAAAGTTAGAAAAATTTACCATAGCAGAACATCTATTTATTTGGTACAATTCTGTATCCAATGACGGATCAATAGTCAAAATACACTGATCTTAAATTTACTTTAAATAGGAAAAACTGGTTCATTTTTAAAATCAACTTGTAAAAAAAACCAAACACTACAAAGTTTTAAGTATTCTAAAACTTGAAGTAAAACACAACAAAAACTGAATATATAACACGTATAACACTAAAAAAGAGCAAACAGGCAACAGTAGCACTTGAATATGTATCAGAATAAAAACTGAACATTGCTAACAAGGACATCGTTTGATTGGCCACAAAGATAATGACTCAGTGACTCAAAGGATCACCGACAGGTCTCAAAATTAAATCATAAATAAAAGGTTCAGTTTGACTAAACCATAATACAATAAAGTTAATAATCAGTAAAACTGTTAAACATTAATATACATCCATTCTCTTTCACATTCAGGATCCAAGGGATTCAGACATGCTTGTCATCACAACTTCCTGTGAAGTCTGCACTGAATGAGTGTCCTGATTGGGTGAAATTTGTCCAATGGGTGATCTGGACTTTGGAGACCTTGAAACTGGGGACAGATCTAAACCCTGTTCACAACCTGTATCCTTGCCCACTTGGTTGTCCAAGGAAACCTCATTGTCATACTGGTTTCTAGGGGACAGATTTAGAGCTTTGTTGGAGGAGTTGCCTGCTTGGACAACCACAGATAGGGGACTGTCAACTGATGAATGGCCATTCTCAAGGAATGCTTCGTCTTGTTCCAAGCTTTCTTCTTTGACATCCATGAAGCCATTTCTGTAAAGATATTGAGCCAACCTTATAAAAATATTATGTCATTTCCAAATCATTAAACAGTTTAATTAATTTGCAGGAACAATTTAATTAATGAATTTAAATTTAGTCCAACAATTTCACAGGAAAATAGAATCAAATAATTTGCAAAATTTAAGGGGAATTGACTTTTAACTAAGAATCTTAATTCTCTAGAAGAAAACAACGCATCTTAATTCACCAATAGTTAATGACATGTAAGAGGAATAATTTCAATATAGCATATTTGGTTACGTAAATTTTTAAATAGAGAATATGTAAATTGTCAATGCTGAACATGACAAAAACTTAACTTATTAAATCTTCATAAAAATCATTATATTTCCTTCTGTATCAAATTTCTGGGTTTTTTTAATGCTAAGAAGGTGCCTACATTAAAATGAGACAGAAAATAAATATATAAATACTAAATGTGTTGTGTGCACTTCAAAACTCCCATACCAAGACATCACATAAATATTAATAACCCAAAAAAAACCATGAAATATCATATTTAATACATCTGAAAATGTTTATGAATGCATGTATAAATTACTGTGAAATATCAATCTATAACCTCATCAATAAGTACTTGGATAAGAAGATCGAGAGAAAAAAAACTTCCTTAAATAATATTCATTTTTTTTCTCCAATTTTAAGACACAATATCTATTTTTCAGATGTTTACTCAAACTAGATTATTCAAGGAAAATTTCAAAATTAATTTTTTTTTTAATTTTGAAAGAAAAAAAATGTTCCTCTATGTTAAAAAGTTTCTACTCAAAATTCACTCAGTAAGTTTTAATTTGTTGATAATGCTAGCACATTCCCTACACCTAATTCTATCTGAATCAACCTGAAAAAAAAAACCCTGCCCCCAAAAACATTAAAAAAAATTATATTTGGAAATTTTTTGATTGAAGTAACCTCCAGAGGTGTGGTAGCCTGCGACAGGAAGAGCCGGCAGCCACAGGAAGTCAAACTCTGTCACCACAAACACGGTCTTATCTTGATGTTTGGGTGAACTTTGAATCTCTTATTCATCTTCAAAACCATGACTGTCAACTCATCACAAGCTACGCTATTTTTGTGTGTTGTAAACAAACAATAGCCCCCATTAAAATGTCATTATTAGCATGTTTATACCTTTTTTCCAATTCATCATTGTGCTTTTTTAACAAGTATGCATAATGAATGAATTTCCTGGTTTAATATGTCAATGGTATTGAGCGACAAATAAATTTCGTGGGACGTGCAGTAAATAGCGCTGGTTTCATTTTTATTTCTTTTGACTATTTTTTAATTAAATAAGATCCAAAAATGACATAACTTGATGAATTACCTTGGCCTGTTAAAGTGCTATGCCTTGGTACTTTAACAGTTGGTGTGAACTGTACATTAAAATTTAATATTTTTTTCACTACAAGGAAATAGAATATGCACACATATTTCATAAAAACTATCAAAGTGATTAAGGTAATACTGCAGGTAAATAGCAGAATTTACTAGTGCAGGTGTGCAAGTAAATTACGCACAGTTTCTTTTTTCTTCTTCAGAATCTATTTCCATATACATGTTCATCTAAATACATCAACCTTAAGACAAATTATAATTTTTTTTTTTCAAATGTGAACTGTACAATAAAATTTAATATTTTTTCACTACAATGTAGTTAGAATAGTTACATGCATATTTACTTTAACCTCTACTGCATGAATTTTATCTCCTAATTTATTTATTAATATATTTTTTGGTACAAAATTATTTGAAGTTTTGAGAGCAAATGGGGAAAGACAAATGGTGAGTGCAATTTGTCACTGGGTCATTTATGGTGATTCATTCAAGTTTCTGCAGCCTGGCACGAGTTATGTAGAACAAGATGTTCAGACTGCATTTAAAGTCCGCCTGTCCTCTGAGGGAACAAACAAAAACTCGGCAGCCTAGATTGCTGGTCATGTTTTATGCATACGGCTACATCACGATAGATGGATTGTCACAAAAAGAAAACAAGTGGAGTGACTTCAGGAAACAACTCGTCAACACACGCTGTGGTGCACTGACGGGAATCGTAAACGCCACGCTCGACACCGATACCTGTCTGATATTGACCTAGTGACCCAGGTCTGTCAGTTATGGCAAATTATCTACACTTTATTTCTGGATCAGTAATGCATGTATGTTTTCTCATTTGAAATTAAATTTCTGGATTCAATTCGATAAAATGATAGATCACTTGTCATTAATGGTCAAAGGGCGTATCTTTCACACAATTCATGTAAACAGCCTCAAATTTACTAATTATCTCCAAACCTTCTGACTTCTGTTTTATGACTTTTAATGATTTATAAAAGGGATCATCTGTCTTCTTCTAACCAATAAGAAACAATATTTTTATCTAGAATGCAAATGATTATGTTTAATACAACAGTATAAGTGACCCAGAAAATAACATTTTTTTGTTTGTGAAACAGGTAACAGGTGTTTCAAGTTCAAAAAGACCTTGTCAAACTTTTGTCATCTTGTTTCCAAAAATTGTCAAAAAAATAAGCATGTATGTTGAAATCAAACAGCCCACTATATAAACTGTTGAATAAAAAAAAATAAAGTCAATTTTGAACAAAGGAATACCATTACTAGTTTAACCAGAATATCAACTCAAATGTCTAATAAAACCCTTTCTGATTTCTCTGTAGATTACTGACGGAAATAGCAAACTCGTAAAAATGATTGCAAGTAGCAGAGAATTTTAAATATCTCAATGAAGCAATTGACTATTACTTACGAAGTTAAATATATCCATTATTATATTAATTAAAACTTAATTTCCTGATGTTAAACAAATGAACATTTATCACAATTCAGCAAAATACTATTTCCTCAAACAGAAAAATAATTTAGCAACTTCCAAATTAAGGAAATCTGATTTATTAAGGAAAGGTCAATTTTGAAAAAATAATAACAAGACAATCAAATACTGTCATGATATTTAGTACACAGTATTTAACCTTACACAAAGAAATGCACACAACACATTAAGGAAAGAAAAAAGGAAATTTTTTTCTCTAAAGTTTCCCGCAAATAAAAATATACAGGATTCCATATACAGTGAAAACTACCTAATCGGACACCTGTGCAATTCCTTTCATTGTGAATTCTGACCTTTATTTTTATTCCCATTTTACTATTTTCTCTGTTTTTTAAACTCTGTAATACAACACCCTGTCTATTTTGACACAAAATTTGTCTCCCAGGGTATGTCAGATTGGACAGGTTTCACTGTATTAACTCATTCTATGCACAAAAAAGAAAAAGGAAAGAATTATATTTGAATTTGGGAACTGGATGTTTGTGTTGACGTACCGTGAGGGGGACTCCAGTTTACGGAGGTTGTCGGAGCTATTATTCCTGCTGGACTTCATTGACAAATCTTCTACACCATCCATGGAAACTGAACCATTACTATAATGTTGATTTAACAAGGTGGCCTGCTCAATTGCAGCCTACAATGGAAAATGTTCATTCTTAAAATTAATTCCTTTGTATGCATTTGTGTGAAAGGATAGGAGGGGGGACAAAGAACAAAAAAATATATAATTTCTTCATTCCTTATCTCTAGCATATGTACTTACACGTAGGCTAGCATTAAATGTCTCTCCAAAAATCACTGGATCTGTGTTCATTGAGGGACTTTTCACTTCTTTAATGGGCATATTTCTGTAAAGTAAACAAAACATGCATATCTTCTGAGCACAAATAGTAAAAATTCATGTTAATAAACCTGCTAAGCAAAAAAAATAAAAATTCATGATAATAAAATGCTGAAATATCTTCTTTTTTTTATGGTTTTTACCCTGGACTTTTCATATTTTTTCTAATATGATTTCCATAGAGTTTTGTCAACTTTACTCAGCTATGAAGAACAAATGAACTAATTTGAGGCCTTTAAACTGATATAAGAGATATATTTTCCCCTACCCTCCCAGCTTCTGGGGTCTTCTTTTGTAAAACTCCACTTCATCGACCGTCCACACTGCTCCTTTGACATTCTCAACTCTCATGAAGCATTTGTGGAGACTCAGGTTATGCCTAACAGCATTCTATAAAGCAATCAAAAAATTCTTAAATCATTCTATAAAGCAATCAAAAAATTTGTAAATCAAAAAATTCTTAAATCATTCTATAAAGCAATCAAAAAATTCTTAAATCAGAACTAACTGCTTACAGACTATACAATGTAGATATCCTAGATCACTATATTTTCGTGACACTTTATTTTTGCGAGATAGATATTTGATATTTATAAGCGATACTAAATTTTTGTGTGCAGTGGTTTCTGTTGTACATAAACCTTAACAAAACAAATAAATGCAAGAATAAAATTTTTGCATGCTGACAGACTCCCTCAGTAACGCAAAAATAAAGTTTTTGCAAATAAAAAGTGATTTACAGTATTCTATATAAGGAATTTATTTCACAAGTGGGACAGGATTTTTTTTTAATTTCACAAGTGGGCCAGGATTTCTTTTTATTTCACAAGTGGGACAGGATTTTTTTTATATTACAAAATGTTTTAAAGGGCGTTATCATTTTCTGTTAATCATGAATGTGCAGAAATTATCTTTTAATAGATTTTTTGAATATCGAGGCTCAAGAAAAAAAAATTGTAAAAACTAGATAGATCTAGAACGAAGTTGGCCTTTACATAAAACTTTATAAAATCTCTTCAAATTAAAATTTAATGAATTTTGCATAAGCAAAGATACTTAAGTATCGCTGTTTGAATTAAAAGCACAGTGCTTCAATAAATTGTTCAGTAGACAGCTTGCTTGATCAATGAATCGGAAAATGCATATCAAAATTAGACAATTAAACATGAAAGGTCAGGTGACAAGTATATTCAGTCAACATAAATCACTTTACAAATAGTTAATTAGACTCATTATCTGAACAATAAATAAAGACATTCCCAGCAAAAAAATCTGTGATTCACTATATAGACATTGTAGCAGTATTTGTCTCTATCTTTTTTTTATAATTATACAAATAAATGATAAAACAACAAACTAGAAAATTGTGAACAAAGAAAATTTTTAATCATTTTAAATTTCATTTTCTTTTTTGGCATGATTATGTAAAAGATGCATAAGCCGAAGGCAGTCCCATCAATTATACAACCCCGAATATATTTTTATCTAAATGCCAAAAACTCCTGGGAGTGTATTTTTAATCTTTGCATACATGAAATATGATAAAATGTTGTCACATGTTTTATGTACTATATGAAAAATCTAATCATTTCTAATTCAGAAGTGGTTAATTTTATCAGTAAATCACATGATGTAATTCATTATGCATAAACACAGCAGGAAATATAATTGAAATATATACACAGATTGTTTATAGTTTCGTTATACACTAGGGATGTGCAGTTTTATCAGTATATCGTGATGTATCATGAGACTAATAATACCTGTATATAGTATATAATTATCAATTCTGAAAATAATTATTTTGTTCAGTCTCTTGAATTAAAACTGAGCTAAATACATAATAAAATAAAAAAAATGAGGTCAAGGTCAAAGGGAAGTCAAATATTTTGATGCAGTTGAATAGTTCTCAATGATAAATATCAGCATATATGAAGTTTGATAAAAATATCTTGAGGAGTTTCTATGAAACTAAGATAAAAAGAAATTAAGAAAAGTGAGGTCAAAGTCCAAGAAAAGGTTGAGGTAAAAAAAGTTAATGAAGTTGAATAGTTCTCACCAATATGTATCAGCAAATTTGACAAAAATATCATGAATAGTTTCTTTGAAACTGGGCTAAAAGCAAAGTGTGATGGACAGACAGACAGAAGGATGGAACATGGACATGACAAACACTATGCCCTGGTCATAACCATGATGGGGCATAATAATGACTATTAGAGAAATTTATATGTTACATACTCTGAAATCAGCAAAATTAATGCATGAGGTTATTTCTCTTTCAATAAGTGTTCCGTTTCTTTACTAAATACATGAAATAGCAATAACTGGTTATCAGCCTGTATTACCTTCCAAGTTGCTTCATTACGCCTAAAGTACGCAAATGTGTTCTGGAACCACTGGTAAATTTCATTCAATGTCAGTTGCTTATGAGGAGACTCAATAATTGCCTGCAAAAAAAAGTTGGAACTGAAAGTCCTTTTTATTAAAGAGATAACTGCTGACAAGGGTCATCTATTTTAGATACAAGATGCTCATACATGTATATTTGTATTTTCTTTATTTTTGTCAAGTTACTTTCAGACCCCACTTGTACATATCTTTAAGAATACAATTTCAACAAAACAAATATATATAGTCACGTTTTATACAAAGTACTTATTGGTAATATTTGTATAAAATACTTCAATTTTTAGACAATGATTAGCTTTCACAATTACCTGACAATTACATTTTTGGAATAATAAAGTTTTGATCCTCATTTTGGAAAACCTGGCATTTAATGAATAATACTCTTCATAAGAATTCATTATCTCATTAAAACATTATTGAAAAATTGTCTCAATTTTTAGAAAGCAATTAACACTTTATCTACTATAACAATTTTAAAAGCAAATTAATGATGTGTTAATTTTAAAATTCATTATACTACACTTGCAATTTCTTTTTTTTTAAAATATTTCCAGAAGATTTTAAGATGCAAGCTTTAGTACATTTTTTATCTATAAATCTTATTCAAACTGAGCAAACAAATTTCTGAAGTGGGTTTGAAAAATGACTTTGCAATAAAGGGAGAAATTGAGTGATTGTTCAGCACTTGTTCATCCCAACTACAATTAAAATACTCATTGTCTTATGAATGGATTTCAAAGTTGGAACCTTGGACTTACCTGGCGAATTAACGAAGCGTAGGTGAATGGAGGGCGCACATCTGTGCTCTTGTAGAAATCACGATTTCTTTGGATTTCTAAAAAAGACACACATAATATATCAATAAATAATGTTTTCTGTTATTTCTATGGAAAAAAATAAATGGCAAGAATCCAACTTTGGATGTTCATAGTTGAAATAAAGATAAAATCTCCATATTTATTGCCTAATAAATATGGATATTGGATTTATTTTAGTCTAATAAAGCATAATTAGTTTTTCAAAAAGTATGGCTATCCTTATGACTGTAAAAGATATACCCTCTGATGTGCCAGCTGAGATCGGGAGGTTACATTTGTCTGAGACTCGTCTTCTCATTGGTCCACTTCCAGTGGGGGTCGATGGCTGCGAGTGGGACTGAGGTGTGGGAGGCTTAGACAGTGAAGTCACCATCGAAGGGGGGATCCCCAGGGATAAAGACATGGGATGTGTTACCATGGGAACAGGGGTGGGAGGGGCTGAGACAGAAGAAACTGAAGCTTGCTTCAATGGGGAGGATAGTGCTGCCACTGGCCTCGGTGGACTGGGAGCAGCTACTGGGGGCGTTACTGTTGCCATGGAGATAGGAACAGGTGTGGAAACTTTTGGATGAAATGTCTTCTGAAAAATAATAAGTTTTACCAACACTTTTACTTTATGAAGATGTGATTGTGATATTTCTAGCTTAATGTAATAAACTATTGTAAATATCAGAGTTTGGAATTTATTACTTAAGTTGATATTTACTGCTTCGTGTGTAATAAATTATTCTGAATACCAGAATCATATTTATAGCTTTACGTAAACACTGGTTTGAATATGCAAGTCTGATATTTTAACTTATTTTAATAAATTGTTTGGAATATCAATGTTTGATAATTATAGCTTAATGTAATAATTATTTGATTTCAAACAATTAAGAATTGATATTTACTGCTTAATGTAATAAACTGTTTTGACACAATTATCTTTTACATTTATGATAACACAATAAATTGTCTTTAATAACAGGTTTATAATTTACTAAATATACAATATTGTTTTGAAAATTCATGTAAAACCCAAACTGTCATTAATGTGTAGCTGTTGATTACTGCTATATGTATTCTGATGTACTATAAATGTCGTTGAATTGATTCTAGTGCACAGGCAATGTGATATGAGCTTGTTACCTGGGGGGAGGGGAGTTCAGTCTTTGCCTTGGGCTGTTTCATATGAAGATGTTGCATCATGCCCTGAAGAAGTTCTTTTTCTCTTGTCAGCTGTTGAAAAGAAAAATTAATACTTTACTGCTTCTTTTACAAGTTACCCCCCTTTGCAAATACTCTCGCATCATTTTCGTTCTAATTGTCAAAGTTTATTTCTTTGCACTGCAATGCACTGTTTTGTTTAATCATAAATCAAGAATACTAAGGAATTTCTGCAAGCATATAGATTTATATACATACATTAATGGTAAACAAATTGCATAGAAATGCTTACTGCTGAAGCACATTAATATTTCATCTCGTCAATTAAGTATTCCAACAACAAATTTGTCTCTCTTTTTCTCCCCTTTATACGTCAGAGTAAATGTTTTATGATCGATACTAAAAACCGCTAGGACAGCTATAAACAAAGTAATGAATAAATTATCATATTTAATTAGGCAAAATATGAAAGTAAGGATGATCATGGAAAAAATAAATTGTGAAAATCAACTTCAAAATCTTTGATTGACATCTGATTGAGAGACTGAGAATAGAGGTAAAGAATGACTCAGGAAAAATTATATAGACATTTCATGAAATCCCATCTGTCAGTCCATAAGATGGATGAGAATTAACTCTACATCTCAAAACCCTGTCAACTAGACACAAGGCTTCCATTCATTTAGGTCTTCAGCTGATTTTGCTGATCAAGGTGATAGATTAAACATAACATGAAATTCCAACCCAAATTATAGAGAGAGAGAGAGAGAGAGAGAGAGAGAGAGAGAGAGAGAGAGAGAGGGTATTTTGGCTTAATTAATTATAAAAAATAATACATGTACTGTGCTATTAGGGGTAATTTTAATGTTGCTAAGAATTTACAGGCTTCAGGAAGTGTGTGTGTGGGGGGGGGGGGGGGGTGTTTCCTGATTGAATGTCTTGTCATAAAAGGCAACAACTATGTTTGAACTTTCAATATTCCCTGAGGATGTAAATTTGTGTACAAGGGACTCCCACAAAATTATCCCTCCTCCCAACCCCAATATAATGCAGATGAAATAATCATTTCAATTTTCAGAACAAACTATTTTTTCCTTTAGTGAAAATATGACATACAGTGTAAATTGTATATAAAATTCTGTTACATGTCATATATCATTTAGTCTGGTCTTTGTTAGAATTTCTTCAGTCTACCTGCAATAATATATGCTTACATTCAAAACTCTACATGCTCTCTTTGATAATTCAATGTTAGCATAAAAATATTTGTCAAAATTGTGCTACTATGAGCATAAAAATACTTGAGTTACATGTATCATATTCCAGTCAACATGCAACCTTGAGCACATGAATACTCCAGTCACAATAATGCAACCCCCCGAGCAAAAAAATACCCCCATTAATTCAACAATACTATAGAACCTGCTATAGTAACTAATATTACGGTATGCAGATTTAGTTACAATATATATATCATGTATTGATTTTTAAAAAAAAATGCATTTTGAGTTGATGATATACATACAATGTACATCAAATCTTAGACAGCCCTTGTACATTACTTTTTTTTCTAATCAGAGCTATACTTTTCATTATAGTCTCTATTGTAAATTAAATCAAGTTCTGTTTTGTTTTATCACTACCTAAGTATTCTGGCAAAATTAAAGGTATACTTGATTGAATTACACTTAAAAGGAAAGTAAAATCTAATCCTCTGACATTTTCCGTATGTATAATCTTAATCAGAGTATTTTCTTTATAAAACAGGATGACAGAAGATTGCAGAATCATTTGGATCGTGACTTTTGGGGTCTGGATATTACTAATCGTGCAATCTATAATGGCCCCCATCTGAAAAACACTGGGAAAGCAATCTGATCGAATTACAAACAAACAAATATTGGATAATGCTATCTGGTCCACAATCTATATAAATGTTTAAAGGGAAAGGACCCTCTGAAAATTACATCAAAGTATCAATTACCGAAGTAAATGATATTTTTATTTTATACAACAGTCATGCATTATGTAGATTAATAAAAATATATATACACCATTTAAATCCATTACCACTACAGAGAAAAAAAATATTTTAGAAATTTGAACACTCTGTCACCTGAGAAGCAAGGTCAGTGGTCACATTTATGTTCATGTAATAGTTACCCCACTCAAACGAGGTGAAGCAATGAGCTTTAGGAGTTCATAAAGTGGACAAGCATACATTTATGCTCATGTGAAAATTACGCCACTCAAATGGAGTGAGGCAATGAGCTTCAGGCGTTCATGAAACGGACATTATTATGTTCATATAAGAGTTGCACTATTCTCTTTAGAGAAGTATGTGGACAGGCTAACATCCAGATATAGGCAAAAGCCTGTCCACTTCTCTAAAGAGAATAGAGTTACCCCACTGAAAATAGGTGAAGCAATGAGCTTTAAATGTTTATGAACCTTTTTTTTTTGGTATATTGTATAACTTATGCCTTTAATTTCACTCAATATCTACAGAATGACTTATCACAACTATATCTTATATGATTGTAACAGCTAGGTTTCATTTGCTGACATTAGAAAATGCTGTATACACAAATATCTGAATATTGTTACTATAAAGTAAAAAAAAACCTCCTCTAATTTAAAAAAAAAAATTATAATGCATTGTCTCTACTCCAGAATGTCAAATAATTACTTTAAAAAAAGTAGAAAAAAGAAAGGAAGGAAAATAATACTTAAATTTAAACTTGGATTAAAAATCTCATATAAACAAGTTGTACAAATGAATATACACCTGGAGCAAAATGAGGGGAAGAAGACAGTTTCTTTTTCACTAAGGTATGCAAAGAAATGAATTGATGTTTAATGATCTTTTCATTATGAAGGCTCAATCTCACATACTGTAGCGAATAATAAAAACATATAAAAATATAATAAAAACATCTCTAGGAATTAGTTAAAGGTTATTATACTTCAGAAAATCCTCATTGAAAATATCAGAGATTAATTTTATTTTTAAAAAAAATTCGACTTCATAAAATACTCTTAAATTTGCTTTAAAACGCATGAATTAAATGTTAAAAACATGAAAAAAAAAACAACTATAAATTTTGATGTAAAATAAAAATCCAAATGCAGAAAAAAATTCAGATTATTTAAATGAACAAAACAGTGTAAGGTAAAAAGGAATCTTATAAAAAAAAAATTATTGTGTATTTTTTTTTTTTTTTGGTATAGATTGAAACACTATATCAAAGGTGAAACTTCCCCTGGCATATCCATACAGTACATATAATCTTTTATGATCTAACATTATAAGGTAATTTTATACAGATAACTGAAAAAAACTACCTAAAACAACTACATCATAATTTTCTTCTTTTCTAGGTGTTTGATCTCAGATAAAAAAAAAATTATAATGTGCTTTGCATGTCAAACTTAAATAGTCATACCTGCACTTAAACCAGGGCTCTAAAACATGCTTGTAGCAAAAAATAGTCTGATAAACGGAAGTTGCTTTCATGTAGTTCTTATGTAATCAGATTGATCAGTGGCAGGGTCTCAAGAGTCTGATATGCAAAAATGCACGGGAAGCCACACCCCCACTTGTTCTATTGACCTACTGACACAGTGAATGAGACTGTGACCCTCATTAATCCCTAACACTTCTAATCCTGCACCTATTTTTAATTTGTCATAATCGCAAACTTCCTCCTCATGTTCAATTTCTTCCATTTTTTTATCATTAGACATTTTGACTGATGGCTGAGAAACAAAAGAAACTCTCCCATCTGCTACTAATTATATATTGCACTGCATCCTTTTCTCATTCATAAGTGTGTCAATCGCCTGAGAAAATAAAACGCAGCAGGAAAAAAAAATCTGTTACAGTGACTTGTTGACAGAGGCTAGGGGAGATAATCTGTGTTTCTATATCCTAAGGTAGCATTTCGTGAAAATAAATATTACATCAGTCTTCTGCAATCATAGAAGACGATTGATCCTTAGCTATTTGTGTTATCTCAGTTTACCGAATAAACCCACTAATTACTAAAATTAGAGTCAATAACACTGTTCCAAATCAATAGTTTAATTCAGTCACTGGGTTAAATATAAAAGTAAAATAGGGATGGGAACTGCTGATTAACTATAACAGATTTAATTATTTAGAGTCTACAAGCTGAAAATTTCTAGAAACAATTTGTTTTTTAAACCAACCAAATAAAGCAAAGACTGCCTATATTAAAACATATGATCTAAAGTTTCAGCGTTGTTTTTTTTTTTTACCCTTGAAAATGAAATTAAAAACCAATCAGATGAGATTTTGAGAGAGAGTCTAACTTGTTGTCTGAATACACTATCTAATCACCTGATTAAATTTACCTGAATTTCCAGTTGACTGACCACCTGCATTTGAACCCGAGCCTGGGCAGTGCTGCGGTCATCCAGCTGATGTTCAGTGGACAAATGTCTGAAACAAATTTACAAATTTATCAATTTTACGTTTCCTGTGATTCTTCATCCAAAGGAAAATCAAGAATCTTTTTTAATGCTGATCATTGCTCTCTCTTTCTCTCTCTCTCTCTCATCAGAATCAGATAATTTATATCAGATATATCATCTATCTATGTACCTGCAGTGCATGACTTCTTCTTTACATTTTTGTGCACTATTTCATCTTTATGTACCTGAACATCTCTTGTAGATGCATACATGTATGTTTTCTCAGATTTTAGTCTACTGCTTTAAAACAATAATAAATCACTTCTGCATCATATCAGCAAAAGATTTCTATTATGAGACCAGATGCACCTACTTATATATTTTACGCTTAGAATACTTATATCTACAGAGTCGACCAAGAATGAGTATAAAATTTGCTTATTTCCCTTATATTGAAGGTTAAATTCCCCCATTATCATATCAAAATTAAGCAACTACAAAAGCAATAATCAATCTCAGATACCAAAAACAGAACAAACTTGAGGGCACTGAAGAAAACCTAGTATACAAATACAAATATCTTATTCTATCTCAAGTTTCTAACATTATGACAAGGTAAAGTATTACAAAGTTATATCAAACAAGGACATATGCAAAACAAGGTGCCCTAAACATTCAAGGGCAACTTCAAATTTCACTCGATTCTCTCTCTCTCTCTCTCTCTTAGAGAGCAATGTCCTAGAGACATTCAAGTTAACCACAGTGTGACCAGGGCTTGCGGTTTTAGAAATCACACGTTACTTATAATGTCAGTCTTTACTATTGGATACTGTTGTATATGATGTGGGATGTAAGTGTTTGAGGTGACATTTTCATTCTCACCTCTGAAACTCTGACTGGTCTTCACATAGGGTATCGCAGTTTGGCCACTTACAGCGCCCATGGCGAAACAGGCAGCCTGTTTTGAGAGAACCTGGCTTTTCTTCTGTGTCAACAGAAATCAGTGGCTGGTTCAAAAGCCCTGTGAGATAAATAAGTACTGATATTATATTTGTGTCTCCCACAAACAACTTGGTTTTATAATTATGGTGATATTTTAAAAACAATAGTCTCTTGTACACTAATTCTTTTATATCAAGTCTTAATACTGTCGAGTGTCCTTACCGATAAGCTTTTCATCTGAACACTTAATTGTAAAACATAGTTATGAAAACAAAATGTGTATCAAAAGACAAAGGACTAATCAATTACATCAAACACAGCTTGAAGTGAATGATAACATTTTGAGACAACTTTTTTTTACATTAACAAAAAACCAAACAACAAACTCATCAAAATATTCAGACCATTTTTCTTGACTGCTCTAAAATGGCTAGATATAATATTCTTAAGTTAAGTAAGTAACTCCCATGACGAAGATTTTTACCTGCTGCAGGTAAGAAAGCTTCAGGTGTAATACCATTTGGCCATTGTCCTTGTGTGGGAGTATTTGGGGTGGTCAGTCCATTAAATGCTGACTTCTGCTCTCCCTCCAGCCCTGACTGAGTGGCCACCTCTTTCCATAGCTGCTGAATTTCTGTTGGGGACATCATTCCTGGGGGGTAAAAAAATGGCCTGGTTAAGAAAAACATTGTCACTATCTTGAGGTAGATCACACCATGAACATCTTTCCCCAAACCTATATCAGTGCCATGAACTCAGATGGTCGTGTCAGGCAGAAAATTTAATCAATGTTCTTGTTTTGCTAGTATGATAAACAAAGCTAGTGTTGTCTTTGGGCCACAACAATAACAGCTAAACATTGCCAGCACGGATAGTGTAAACAATATATTTCAGTATTGATCTTCAGGCTTCACGTTTACAACTAATTTTTGCACACTGACTAATCAAATCCCTTACAAAAATAATAACATTTCACATGATATGGCCATTTCCATTTCAAAATCAAGAGCATGCACCATTTGTACGGTCACATGGTGTGACTGTTTCTGAACAAAAAAATTGCTGCCTTGCCAAATTTATTTCTGGCTGCCTGAAAAAAAAATAAACAATGAAACTCTGCCTTGTCTATTGAGACTAAACCCAAGGTCACAAACAACACAATTTGTAAACAAATTAACTTGAAGCCCAAGCTGATGTTTGTACAACAATGTATAGGTCTTTCCACAAGTTATCTACCATTTTATCCCATCTGCAGGTGATGATAAAAACCCAATGTTAAATGCAAAAAAGATAAAAACCCTTGAGTACATCAAGGAATATACCCTACCCTTTTTAAAAAAAAAAAAAAAAAAGAGCTGATATCACAATGACATGTAATTATACCTAGATCATAGGAGATCCCTCCAACTACAAACTAAGACTGCTGTACAGTGCGGATTTCAGGTTAATTGATAACATGAAGTGGGTCGTTAATTTCCGCTGCTGCTATTTTTATTTACACTCTGCACAGAAGAGATCAATGAACTTGAGTGTACTTGTTTGTTTTATTTTTTTAGACTGATTTTTTTAAATTCTGGAGTTGTTTATCTGGCATCTGTTTTGGGGATTGAGAGCTGCCGTGAAATATTGAACTATATATCCATGGCTGATGCTGCTTAAAAAGAGTTTGATAAGATAAAAGGGAGATGGGAGAAAAAGTGTACATTATGTGTGATGTTGACTTTAAAATTAATTTGTAAAATGAGTATCATTACAATGACTTATCATTTAGAATGCAATGAAATAGCTAATATAGATTCAAACCTTGATTTAAAATTATCAATATTTCATCCAACAAATAGGGAAATAATTCAAAACCCTAGTTATTATAGCTTCATTTTTTTTTCAGCTGAATGGTTGCATGCACACATATAGGATGATTTATTCTATCTCAATTATATCCTATACTATTTTCAACACTCTAATTTTAAGCCTTCAAATTATGCATTATATATATTAAATTGTTCACATTTTTAATTTGTGGAAACTTCTTGAATACATGCATGTACATATATATTTCTCAGCTTCCTGTGTGAGTTTGACACTCATTATGTATATTTATTTACAAATGTCAAAATCTCAGCAGTAAATAATCTCCATTTCAAAGCTTAATCAAATGTAAAATCAACAAAATGGAGAGACTTTGGAAACACTTGTGCAGTCATACAGCTGCATTTCTGATCAGGGGCCTAGCAGGTGAGAATCTCAGCTATCTTGATAAGGGAGGGGATTTATACACAAACACTGTAAACAAAAGCATTAGTTCCAGACAAACCTGAGTAAACAAACACTGGACCACCCTCACCCCAGTGTAAACAACGCTGGATATAAATAGAAACATTTTTGTCAGTTTCCACCAAAGAAATAAGCAAATCAAAATACAAAATCTCTGAAAGCAATTGCTTACTTTTTCCCCTCAAGTACTGTTAGTATTTACAGGTCCCTTCATGTTTTTTGTCTATGTTTTCTAATACAAAAAATTTTATTTTGGGAGAAAAAAAAGCAGAAGTCTCTGATGAGACTGCAGCTCTACTGGTATGTACTTACAGCAAAGGAAGAGAAAAAATAGCACTAAAGCACTTGAAACTGCACAAACAGCAATAAATAGAATAGAATTGGTTTAGAATGGTTTAGTCTCCTTTTGTGGTAAGATTTATTGCAATTAGACTAATTAAAACTTTTGGAGGAGTAGTCTTTTGAAAAAAAAAATCACAGGAATTTCTATTTTTAGTAACCATGGCATGATTATTCATCAAAATAAAAAACCAATGCACTAAATTATGTATCTTAGTGTAGTCTACTTGTGTGCCAGGTTATATTGAAATCAGACCAAAACTGTAGGAGGAGTAGCATTTTAAAGGAGTTTCACAGAAATTTCTGTTTAAAGTAACCTTGGCAACACCTTTCATCAAAATCAAAAACTGATGCACTAAATTATGTATCTTATCATAGTCTACTTGTGTGCCAGGTTATTTTGAAATCAGACCAAAACTGTAGGAGGAGCAGTGTTTTGAAGGAATTTCAGAAATTTCTATTTTTAATAACCATGGCAACACAGTAAATCAAAATCAAAAACTGATGCACTGAATTATGTATCTTAAGTGTATAGTCTCCTTGTGTGCCAGGTTATATTGAAATCAGACCAAAACCGTAGAAGGAGTAGCCTTTTAGAGGAATTTCACAGAAATTTCTATTTTTAGTAACCATGGCAACACTGTTGATCAAAATCAAAAACTGATGCACTGGATTATGAATACTAGTCTTGTCTACTTGTGTGCCAAGTTATACTGAAATCAGTCCAAAACTGTAGGAGGAGTAGCATTTCAAAAAATTGTTTACAAACAGACAGCTAGACAACTAGAAGGACGACAGGATGACAGACACCTTACTATCGCATAAGCTCTTCTGGTCTCTGACCAGTAGAGCTTAATTAAAACAAAGCTAATCCTCTCCTGAGTCGATCACTATGGCCCTGCTGTTCATTCCTATGTAAAACTTTGATTACATATTGTGGCCCCATCCTACAACTAGGGTAGAACAAATCTGAATCTACAATACCTGAGAATGCTTCCATATATTAAATATGAGTAATTGTCATCTTGCTGTTCTTGATAACATTTTTCTTATATATTTCAATGTAAAATTTTATCTCTTATTGTGGCCCCATCTTCCCCTGATGGACATGATTTAAATAATCCTGAATCTACACTTCCTCAGGAAGCCTTCACATAAGTTTCATCTTTTCTAATCCAGTGATTCTCATCAGAAGATTTTTAAAGATTTTTCCTATATATTTCAATTCTAAACTTTGATCCCCTAATGTGGCCCCATACACCCTAACCCTGGGGGTCATGATTTGAACAATTTTCTTTTAGAATTTACACTTCCTCAGAAACCTTCCATACAAGTTTCACCTTTTCTGGCCAATTGGTTCTGGAGAAGATTCCTTAATGACCCCACCTTATTTTTGCCTTTTTTAAAATTATCTCCACTTGGAAGTGGGCTTCAGCCTTCCTTTAAAAAAATTATAATTTTCTTTACACAAGGATGCTTTGTGCCAACTTTGGTTAAAAATGTGAAAAGTTTACAGATGAATGCTGGACAACAGGTCAGAAAAGCTCACTTGAGCTAAATATAATAAGCTCAGGTGAGCTAAAAAGCTATCATAATGGCCTACACAGCTTTTTCATAGTCTTTTGTGAAAAGCATGTTATTACATCATAATGTACTATCCCTTAAAAGACATTAATTTGATCAACCTACTTCAGAAACTTGTTGATTTGCCACGTACATGACAACTTATGGTCATATATTCATTCAAATTCACGTAAACCTAACATTTGTTATGAATTCAGTTAATGGCCATCAATTTATTTCAAGTTTCTTTGAATTTCCCTATTAAAAACAAAATTGATAAAAATAGACATGGTCAAGATATGTTTTATAAAATATTAAGTAAAACATAAATACATTTTCATAATCATTTCATGATACATTGGTTCCTTCCTTCAGTATTTCTATAAGCATTATTTTACTGAACAGAATTGTCAGAATATCTAAATCAAGACACTTTATTTCTCAAGTCAGCAAACCTACATGCATATAAATTTTGAATTCCGAATGGAATATTTATATACATACATACATGCTTATATATTAATTACCACATATCAATTAACAATAATGACAGATACACTGCAACCAATGACCAATCTAGACCGTTCAGACAGACATCTTACCTGAAAGAAAGACCATCTTGAGTTTACTGGGTCAGATGACAGGTGTGTTTTGTTGATGTTTACTTGTTTACCTGGCCAGCCCCTAACTCAGGTGTCAAACAGTAATAATTTGTTGACACCTTGTGCTTATTATGTATACTCAGTGGTCTAAAATGCCACATTTTATGGACACACGTCCTGATCATTGTGTGGAACCTAAATGTCAACTCTGGCCTAATAAATTATTTGCTGACCAAGTTATATTGTATATTTGTGCTTATCTGGTCTTCAATACAAATAACATTTAAAAATCAAGTGTATGCATGTATGTACACATTTTTTTTTTAATTTTAAATGAAATTAAATTTCATTAAACAATATCATTAACCTTTATATGATTAATTTGATCTAATAAATGCAACTTTAAAGATTCTAAAATTGCATATATGTTTTTTTTTAAAATGATGTACCTGTAGCAGTTTGCATGATGTTTCAAAATTAACCCAATTCAAAAAAAAAAAAAAAAAAAAAAATTCCAGACAATAAAATGAAAGAGTGCCTAAACCTCCCATTATACAGAATTATAAAACATCATACTGAAACAGTCATATCTGTGTTTTTTAATTGTTGAACTCTTTAATTTTGGTAACTAAAGACTCCACTGAACTGTAATGGAAGATAATCACAAAGCAGAGTAATATTTTTAGAAAGTGCATTCTTTATATTGTCTGCAGGTAATTATTTATGCCACGCTTTCATCAGAGATTGCCCATTAACTTTTTTTCAGTGACCAGTGCATTAATCCAGGAAAAAGCTTGTATATAAAAATGTTCTCACCGACTCGACTGTCAAAGACATTTTATTTTTTTTTTTACTTTGATCTCATTTTTAATTA